CAACCATAAGGAAGGTGGGTACACACACACACACACACACACACACACACACACACACACTGTCTCTCCCAGTGGAGAATTTTTCTGTATCAGTCTTCAAGGGCAGGGCATATACCAGAGTAAAGGTGGTTAGGTACTTTCAAGATTAATTAGGTATGTGATGGTGAGACTGGTAACTGTTGGATTCCCTGGAATAAATGTGGGGATTCTATTTTTTTTTCTACTGAGGCTAAGATCCAGATATTTTTGGAATATTCCAGAGGTTTTCAACAGATTTGTTGAAAACTATTGGTACTTCCTCAGGGGTGGGATTCTACCAATTCGCACCTATTCGCTAGAACCGGTTGTTAACATTCTAAGCAGTTCAGAGAACCAGTTGTTAGAAGAAATTACTGGCCTAATCCTGTAAGGAAGGCAGGAAGGAAACATTCTGGTGTTGCTTACAGAAACTGCCTCTCCGTTAACCCTTATTACATTCTTGGAAGGACTAGACTTCCTGTCTCAGGAACTTCTCTGGAGTTTTTTCCCCCTCCTTTGCTGGTACTTTGCTTGTGTTGAGTGACCATTCAAAGTTACAATGGCACTGAAAAAAGTGACTTATGACCATTTTTCACACTTACGACTGTTGCAGCATCCCCACAATCATGAAAGGCCAGGCGAGGAGATGCGTGCCTCGATGTGAGTGATAGTGAGTTGGCCATGCCCAGCCAATAACATGACCACCAAGCCACGCCCACAGAACCAGTTGTTAAAAAAGTTGGAATCCCACCCCTGTAATTCCTGCTGGAACTACTTTTAGTTTATATACATTTTTGTATATGCGTGTACTGTATATTACAATTTTTAAAAAAATATGTTTTGAGGTGTTTGATTTCAAATCACTTTGGGGATTAAATTGGTAAACCTGAAAGGAAATTGTATTATCTGAATATTCACTAACTCTGTATGCAGATGCATGTGAATATGAAGGTGTTCTGCCCAGAACTCTGATTTGGGGGAAGTAAAGGACCTTTGATCTGATCTTGAGAGAGCCAGAATAGTGGTGCAGAAGAGTATATTCTGTCTCAGTATTTCTTTTCTTTTTTTTTACATCATTTTTAAAATTACATTTTATAATATAAAATACAAAGGAAAATAAATGGAAGGGAAATGAGGAAGGGAAAAAGTGAAAAGAAAAGTGTGAGTAGGGGAAAGAGGAGGGAAAATATTAATGTCCAACTTTTTTCAGTGTAGGAGAAAAAAATACTACTCAACCTTTACATACTTAGTACACTAGACATTTCTATAACAATAGACTTACCTAATCTCATTTCTTTTTGTCTTGAGCACAGACTAGATGTAGTTTCCAAGTAGAAACAAACCTAGTTGTATTCTTTTCATTGATTCAAGCAGTTAATCTGACCAATGTAAATTTGTATAACTTACATCAGTTGTTTGGACTGCTCAGAAAACAACACTTTGTTGTTTCTACCTGAAGTCTGAGCTAAAATTTAGTCAAGCAAAGAAGACAGTTCAGTCAAAGGAACATCCAAATGTTAAATACTGCATGATTAGGACCGGAAATGGTTGTGGTTGACATTTGAACTAAATGTAGAGATTCTTCTGTAGTCAGTATCAATTAGTTGCCACTGACATACGAAGGACATTTATATGTTGAAAATAGTAGGAGGGGTAGGAAACAGTGCCCTGCTGAAGAAACATGTTCTTGCCATTATATAAATGTGACAACCCCATAAAATTAAGTGGATTACAGGTACATTTACATACATATCTATGGAAATATGAATATGCCTAAAATTGGGGGAAAAACCTGCTGTGACTTCGTTTCGAAGTGTGTTGATTGGGAAGGGTAGATGCAAATGCTTTGTTTGGTCATTAGGTGTTTCTGTTCTTGACCATGTCAGCAATAAAACATTAGGGCAGTAAATGGGCATTGTGCCAATATGAATGAAGGCAAATAAATGCATCCCAGTATAATGTTGCAGGATCCAATCTGGGTCGGTCACTGGGGCCAGAGGTTGAGTTTTCTGAGCCTTGGGACTCATGCTGGAGCCAATCCTCAAGGAACTTATCTCTCACCAGAATGTGTGCTTTGGGCCAATACTTGAGAAAATGCAGGAGAAACACCTACTGTGGTGTGGCCATGTCTTAAGAACAGAACCATGCACCATTGCCTGCATCTCCTTCCACTTTAACAGAGATGGCAAATGTCCACATGGAAGATCGAAGTAAAGATGGCAAGACACAATAAATGCAGACATGCAAGTTATCCAGTTGGACCTGGATGCTGCGTTTGATCATGCAAGATGGCATTCATCAATCCGAAAGGTGGATACTGCATTTGCGGGAATAATGCTAGTAAGATGATGATGATGAGGAGGAGGAGGAGGATGATTAGGTGAAATAGGTTATAGAAAGAAGGATAATATGCAGTGGTTGGATTAATTTTTTTTTTTACTACTGGTTCTATGGGCATAACTTGGTGGGCATGGTGTGGCTGGGTGGGCGTGGCAGGCGAAAGATACTGTAAAATGTCCAATCTCACTCCAGGGGAAGTTACTGCAAAATCCCATTCCTTCTCCACCCCACTAACCTGCTTTCCAGCTACATTCTCCTGTGCAGGGCAACAAAAGAGCTGATTAGCTGGGACTTGGAAGGCAGAGAATAGATGGGGATGAGCCAGTCAGAGGTGGTATTTGCTGGTTCTCCAAACTACTCAAAATTTCCATTACCGGTTCTCCAGAACTGGTCAGAACCTGCTGAATACCACCTCTGGTAATATGTTATAACTAAAGAGGTTAAAATATATTTGAACTTATAATGGGTATGAAGAACACCAGAAGCTTTTCCCTTTATTTTCTATTTTAACTTTTCCTTAACCTTTCTCCTTTTCATGTACCTCTTCCTTTTTCTTTGATTCCTTTTTTTACTTTCTATTAGTGTGTGTTAACTTGCTTAAAGTTTTAATAAAATTACACAGACACACACACACACAAATAAAAGAAATGGGAATATGGTCCCATTCATATGCATATCCCTTTTGAGCTGCACAACAGCTAGTTATTATACAGAGTCTGGCTGCAAATAAAATCCAGTTCTATGAAAGGATAATGAGCTGGCAGCTCGCAGCTTCTATTCAGTCCAAGTCTAATCATGTTATTTACACAAAACACCCTCAATGCATTGGCTCTGGAGTCTGCTTTGAAGATGGTTCCTGTACACCAGAAATGGAAGTACTAATACTATTACTAATTATTCATACAAGAACACCTACCTATTTCAGGTTCTTAGGAAGGACTCAAGAGGTGAATAAATATGCCAAATCCAATTAAATATCAGACTGATTATGCAACCACCCATAATAATAATACCTATTAAATTAAAACCACTAGAAATCTCATAAAGTTACCAAGTTGTATAAGACTTTAGTAATCTTTCCATGTGGGATTTCATATAAGAATGAAATTTCATGAGATTCGAGAGGGTTTTTTAATTTTAAATGTTTAAAATGTGAATATTTCTATCTATCTATCTATCTATCTATCTATCTATCTATCTATCTATCTATCTATCTATCTATCTATCTATCTATCTATCTATCTATCTATCTATTTGATTTGTTAAATGTTTACAGTATAATAGAAATAAGAATAAATCCCCAAACCCCCAAAACTTTAACCTTAAACTTTCTACTATTGATCTCACCCCTTTTCTAAGAGATCTGTAGGGGGCGTGCATAAGTGCACCAACGTGCCTATCGTCCCTGTCCTATTGTTTCTTTTATTTATCTTATATATATCCATTTATTCATAACTATGTTTTTACTTATACCTATTATCTTGTAAGCAATTGACAAACCAAATAAAATAAAATAAATAAAATAAAGAATAAATATAAGTATAAATGCATACAAATAATTGGGGACAATAGGACAGGGACAGCAGGCATGATTGTGCGCTTATGCATGCCCCTTAATATTGCAGTGCTGCAACTTTGCCATTTTTATTTGTTGATTTATTTATGCTTTATGATAGAAGGACAAGCTCACAAGTGCATGGGAATCCTACATCTAATTAAAGGCATATTAAAATTAGGGAACCCTTATCCAGCTTGGTGCCTCCAAAAGTACTGGAGCACAGCTGTGGATTGTGGAAGTTTCCAGTGCCTCTGGAGAATATCAGATTGAGAATGCTGAACAAGGAGACAGCATTTGGAAGACAGGGCAATGGCTTTTCTTCAATTAATTTACCATATCATCCTTTCATTGGTTTCTTTTTGTTATTTGTATTTTGTTCTGAGAACTTCCTTTGCTCTATATTCCAACATTTTTCTGAATTCATTCATTGGAACGCTTACACTTTCTGCAGTGGTAGTCCAACTTGATGATTTAAATGCAGCCATTTTAATTACCTTAGAATATGACACATTAGTGGTTTTTGAATCTGGGTAGGAAAAATGTGGACATTAAAAAAATACAGCAAATGCCTCCTTGAGTAATTCTTGGAAAATGAACTGTTGAATTGAGAAAGTAAACTGTAATAACTGCTGAAATCTGCTCTATACTGGTAGTGCTGCTGGAGAAAAGTAAATTTCCCTTTATGAACTAGACAAATATAAAACACTCTTATTCATTGTTTGTGGTAGTTATACAAAGTTTCTCATTGATTCTACAATGAATGGCACGGCAAACATTCTATACTGCCATTCTATGCCTTTTCTTGTCTTGCATCGGAGACCACCCGATAGGGGAAGGTTGATAATCCAGGCATCATATTTCTGCATCCAGACTAGCACTAATTTATTTTTTCTTGCCTCCTTGGAAACAGCACCTTGTTCTGAGAAATGATACATAATTCTTGCTCAATCTTAGATGAGTGTGACGCCAAAGACTGACCAGTCTAGCAAGGGACGAAAGGCCAGTAAGGTGTGGTTATTGGAGGGGACGGCAGAGAACGGATCAGGTGGGCAGACCTGTTGGATCACATTCTTCCAGGAAGCTGCCAGGAAGTGGCTGCCTTGTTAAAAATTTATTTTGCACGCTCATAGGTTTTCACTGAAGCAAAACTGGATGGTTACAGGCTGGAAACAACCTTCTTCCTTGGAGTTGAGGCAGGGGCCCTGTTTCGGTATGAGAACTGCCTCTATTTTCTGTTGCTTTGTCATGCTTTCTCTAACACAGGGTAAGTAAGTTGGCCCTTGGTGTGTTTGTGTATTGGAATATTCTTTATTGTCCAAGAATGATTGGGCATCCAAAGAATTTGTCTGTGATGCATAAACTCTCAGTATGTGTGTATAAGATCCTGTTTCTCTGAATTAAACAAGGAGGTTGCTGATTTACAGTGGATATCTCAGAAAAGGCCTTCTCATGAGAAGGGACTCGGACTACAACAGTGTAAATCCAATACTTGAATTTTATTCTTAGGACTAAGAAGATGGAGTGAGAGCTAGTGATCAGACAATCACTTCCACATCAGACAGTATTTCTTTATGAATACTTTGCATTTGCACATATATTATTAGGATGATCACAAACCAGCTCAGGAAAGTGGTCTAGCAGTTGAAAGACAAAGAAGGGATATTGGTGGCCTTTCTTTTCTCTTTTCCAGGGGTAGGTCCATGAATATTTTAAGGAAGGTTGACTTAACAGCATATAATTTTTTTTATCTTTTTGTATTTTTATTTGGCATGTGATTGAAATAAAAATAGGCAATGGAGGTGTCTCATTGTTTGCAAAATCTGTTCCACCAACGTATATAACCAAAGTTTCAGAGCAGCATGGGTTTCTTTGATGTGAAATAAGGTATATTTATGCATGCATGTTGAAAAAGGTAAGATTGAGGAGGAAAATTGATGATGGCAACATTCTTGGGTTCCAATTTGTAAGCTCTTGATCTAGAATTTTTATCTCCATAAATAGCCTGGCACAGCATGCCTGGTAATGGTTGCCAGTTGTCCTTTCAATGGTTGGCTTACCTTGCATACTGGAAATAAATGGTTTTAAAATGGGAACAGCCAACTCTTTTGTTTCTCTTTCACCCTGTCCATTTCATTGGAAAACTTATTTTGCGCTTGCAGGCAAGGACATCTAAATTTATGAACATATGTATGTAATAATTGCCTTTTTTGTTATAAAACTCATTGAAATCTTCTAATCTAGAAAGGTGAGGCTACCTTCAATTTCAATAAAGTTTCATATTGACCTTTCATTTCTCAATTAAGTCAAATGATCCAATGACTTTTATGAGATCCTCAGCTGTAATAGAATTGAATACCCTGGACTTTGACAATGAGAAATCAACGAGTATCTGTGATTAGTGCAGATTAGGGGTGCTTTCTTATTTTTTCACATCTGAAATGAGCATATCTACTTTTTGCAAAAAAAAGCTTCATGTGGAGTTTATTGGATCCTGACCATTTACTCAGATTAATTGCTTTTTAAAATATACTGCATTCTTTTATATCTTCTTGCTTCTCTATTTTAGCTACCAAGAAAAAAGCAACAGCTCTCATCATTCTTGCAAAAGCTATCAGCCATGGTTGTTGTATAAAACTTAAAATAAATCAAGGATATTACAAATTGTAGGAAAAGTAATTAATTTGTGGATGTGAGAGTTCCCATGACTGAATGTGCTATTATGTCAAGTTAAATACATGACCCATGGAAAGGTAGTATGTTAGTGAAAATGATTGTGCCTTAGTTTTTTCTCTAATACTGTACCTTAGTTAACAATTTTTTGAAATATAAGACATAGAAGTGAACATTATTATCCTCCAATTGCAAATTTTTCAGATATCATAATTTATTATGGAAACCATTTATTTATCCCTGAAAAAAAATGCCTTGGGTTGAGATTAAGTGTAGTTCATCCCTAATCTTGCAAAAACTAATGTCACATATATTAATGAGATTTACTTTTACACATCCCTGTATGGATTTATATTACTAATTGCATTAAAATCCATAGAATTGATGTTATGATGACTTGAATTAAGTTAATTCTAATTTTCATTTTTTCTTACATTTGGGTGTTTTTGCTTGAAAGCACCTTGTTTGCTATGTTTTCTTTTGTTGGTGGTTGTTGAATTGACAAAAAACCCTTTCTGGAGTTTGTGAATAAAATTTTTGGGTCACGGGGAAGGGAATGCAGATTATAAATAAAAGCGAAAGCAGAATCAAGAAGTTCAAATTCCACACCTGATCAAATTTACCAGACCTAGGTCCAGATCAAAATCATGTGTATACATATCTGCATGTATATAAGCATATCTTGATTTTAATGCATATGTGAACAAGTGGGTACACATTTTTTTTAAATAAAAGTTTTATTTAAGTTTTCACAAAACATATAAATACAAATAAAATATCTTTTTTTGAGAACAGCGTGACCCTGGGTTATCACTTATCCATACAGACATAAACTCAATACATATTTATCTTATACATTCTTATAACATATCTTATAACTATTTTTGCAATTTTTTCAATAGCTTTTCTCTTTCTTTACTTCCTATAGCCTTATTTTAAATTATCTTATTCCTTTCTTAATTCAATTACATATCTTTTTCTAATTTTTAAAATCTAAAAATTATTTATAATCAATGTTTTTATACTTTCGTCTGTCCTGTTTACAATTTCATATTATCTTTTCTCATAAAACAAATTTTCCCTGTAATTACTAGACTGGAGTGCAACACTTTTGTATCTTTTTTCAAATCTTGTTTAAAAATTTAAGTTACACCTTTACAGTTATAACATTCATTTTTTAACCTCTGTTTTATAACACATACCTATTTTTAATCGAATTCTGCTCGGTACATTCCCTTAAAAATACACACTAAATTCTTAAAAGAAAGAAGTATATATATCTCATGTATAACAATAGTAAATGGAATAATTATTCTATTCAAGTACAGCTCTGCCATTAATATTAATAACAATCTTTTACATTTCTATTTCTTTTAACAAACATTATCTAGTAATATCAGTTGTCTTTCACTTTAATCATCTATATTTCATATTTTACTTATTACTGTCTTTAAATAAAAAAACAAAACAATAGTTAACGGTAGTCAATAAAATTATTATTCTTATTCAAATTCATCTTGTCAACTGATAAAAATCTTCCATGTTTCTTTTCAGTTTTTTTTACTTTCTTTTTAAATCATTGAGAGCCTTATTCTCTTTACAAACAAATATTCCATTACACATCAATATAATTTATTTCTATCACTTTAATATCGAAACATATTTTCTAACCCTTTTCTATTTCTAATATAACAATGCTATCCCATGCATCCTTGCAGAATTCTCTCCTTAAGTTAAATTTTAACCATTGTCTCTGTGTCTTTTAAATAGGTTTATACCTTTAATTCTTGTATGCTTTTCCTGTACCTTTATATCTTGTTTCTGTCCTTTGTAGCTTCTTTTCCTTTCCCTCTTCCCTCTCTTCTTCTCCCTCCCCCTTTTATTCCCTTCTCTATCTGATTCTTCCTTCTGTGATCCTCCCTTCTGCTTCTTCCTGATATTATGATTGCTTTTCAAATTACTCTTTTTTTTGGTTGTTGCTTCAATGCTTAAGTTTTTAACTCCCTTCCCCCCCCCTTTCCCTTTTTTTAACCATGCTTAAAGTTGCTTGGCCAATAAAGATGGCTTCTTCTTTATCCCACCCTTCTTGTTCTGCCAGCATTTCTTGTTGTTTTTCATAGTTCAAAATCTCCATTTCTAAAAAATGAAATATGAAGCCAAAAGATCCTCTTTCCTCTTGTGCTTCTTCTTTTTGTTCTTAAAGTCTCATTTTTAACTCTTCAAGGACTGATGCCATTTTAAAAAAATTTAAACAACCCCCAATTGATTTTATTTTGTTTCATTAGGATTCACCACCCAAAATTCCAGGAATCATCCAATAATCCAAAACTGTTTCTTGCTTCTTTTCTGACTTTCTCTTTCCAGGGGCTTTGTTATCTTGTAACAAAGTTTCAGTTACAATGTATCTTTTGCAAGCTTTATTAAAATTCCACTATCAATTTTTTTTAAGTTCCAGGTGGTCTCCTCCATTTCCAGATTCTACCCTCTTGTTTCCTTTTTCCCTCCTCTGCTTTCTTTCTTTTTTAAAGAATTTTTTAAAATTACCCAAGAATCTTTATCCGTTTGACACTTTATTTTCAGCTAGAAATAGCCTATTAATGTCAAAGTGGATTAGTATCAATTTCTTATTTGAATCTCTTCTTAATGTTCCAAGTCAATTAAACCTGTCAATATGAGAGGAAAAAAAGCCAATTCTGTTTCCTTTCCCTTTCTCTTTTGCCGCTTAAGATCTTTTTTAGGAATAGTATTAGTCTTTAAAATTCAGGTTCCAGGTACTTTAAATAAATATTCTCCATTCAATCCAGTCAGTCAAAATTTCTCCTTTAAATTTCCTCCTGCACAATCTTGTCTGGTCGGATTCTTCTTTGAGGTGGCCATTTCTGACCACCGCTGCAACTGCCTTTGGGAAAGGGAGTAATGGCTAGACGGGGAGGAGTGATGTGGCTCTCCTCAACCCCACTGATGGCTCCCCCTTCTTCACCACCTCTATGGGGTGGCTTCAGCCCCGAATCTGGGCGGCTCGGGGTGCTCCAGTGGCGAGCATGGATCAAAACCTCGCATGATTCCAGATTTCAGTCCATCGCTGAAGAAGCTTGAACCGGAAGTTCACACATTTTTGAAGTAAGCAAGATGCTTCCCTGTACCCATTTTATACTGTTATTCCATGTACCAGCAAGGCTGGTTCTGAAATGCTGACTTAGTAGCTGCCAGCTCAAGCATGCTTTGTTTTCAGTGTATTTAAAAAGTGCTCAAGCCTATTCAATTTCAGATGAAGAGCTATTTGTAGAAGAAGAACCATACTGATTTGGAAGGAGGAAGATTCTGCTAATCTTTCCTGTTATTCTGGAGAATTATAGAAACTATAGAAATGCTCCAGGCTAGAAATGTAAGTTAGAAAGGTTGAGGAGGAAGAACAGGTAATCTAAAAGGATTAATTATATATTTACAAGGCAAATTTTCCATCAACAGCACAGACAGGTTTTTCAGAACTCTACAAATGCGAACAGAATTAATGAAGAGCAGAGGAGCATCTGCAAAGAAAAACAACAAACAATCCCACAATCCTTCTTCAAAGGATTGATGAACTATTTCTTGTTAATGGATAAGCTGCTGTCCAATCTGTCTCCTTCATTCTAGCCTAGATTAAAAGAAGTGGAACTTTCTGGGCCCCAAGACAAATCTCCCAGATAAGGTACCCAATTGTGAAAGAATTTATGTCTAGATGTCCTTGAGTTAAGTGGAACAACTGAGGAAGGTCAGAAGAAAAGAAAGAATTTAACGTGGCAACTTCTTTTCTGGTGTCATCATTGTAACAGCAGGTTTAGTCCTTCAGAAAATTGTTGCTGTTGGACTATTAGACGTGGGAGATTTCTCTTTCCCTCCCATTTAAGATATGGCCTGTAGTATATACAATATATCCCTTCATTTTAGTAGCAGTTTCCTCTTCTGAATCATTTTTTGACATGGAAGTGATTTAGTATGCTTGGTTGACAGCCTGATTGAGGATACAATCAAGGCTGGGTTCTGCTCAGCTCTGATTGGTCACCTTTACTATTTCAAGAATTTCTCCTACACTCTGGTGTCTTTGTTTTGCTTTATTTCTAGGAAAGACTTCACACCTGCCTTCATTTGCCAGATATTATTCATGCTTGTTAGATACATGAGTTTAGTTCTCCTTTAAGAGAGGGTAATATCTGCATGAAAAAAGGTACTCTTAAAAGTGGTACTTTTGTGCTGTGTTTGATCTAAACCAGGAAGGAGAACCAGGATCTGTCAAAGAAGTTTCCTAACAGTGAGAACTATTAACCAGTGGAATGGCTTGCCTTCAGAAGTTGTGGGTGCTCTATCACTGGAGACTTTTAAGAAGAGATTGGACAGCCATTTGTTCTGGAATGGTATAGGATCATGATGGCGAACCTATGGCATGCGTGCCACAGGTGGCATGCAGAGCCCTCTCTGTGGGCACACAAGCCGTTGCCCCAGCTCAGTTCCACTGTGCATGTGCCTCCTGCAGGCCAGCTGATTTTTGGATCTTTGTGCGCATATGCGGGGTGCATGTGGGAGATGTGCAGTGAGGCTCCCTTGCACTCCCTGTTTTGGGCTGAGTAGGCATCTCTGTAGCCTCCTGGGAACAAAAACTGGGGCGGGGCATGCCGCACCCCCTTCGTGGTACTTTCGGTACTCAATGACAAAAAGGTTAGCCATCACTGGTATAGGATCTCCTGTGTGAGCAAGGGGCTGGACTAGAAGACCTCCAATTCCCTTTCAAATCTGTTATTATGTTATTTTTAACTGCATGTTACTGGTTTGGTCAACTATATGTGCAATTGCAGGTTTTTCATTATTTCTGCACATAAGATTGTTTTGTCTGGTTGAATAGGCAGCGCTATTTTCCTATTCCAACAGCTACTGTACTTCAGGGTGTGTCTACCACACCACTTGCTGCCAACGCTGCTGTTCTCTTTCAGAACAAGCTGAGGACAAAGCTCGGTTTTTAATATTTCTCTTCCTGCTTCACCCTGTGCCCCACCTCCATGTTTGTGGCTGTCAGCCAGGCTACAGGGGACTTTGGGACAATAGCAGCAGCACTTAGACTTATATACTTTATAGACTTTATAGCTCTCTCTACATGGTTTATGGTTTACAGAGTCAGCATGTTGACCCCAACAATCTGGGTCCTCATTTTACTGATTTTGGATGGAAGGCTGAGTCAACCTTGAGCCAGTCAGGATTGAACTCCTGCCAGTAGAATGCAGAGTTATCCTGCAATACTGCATACTAACCACTGGCCATCACTGCTCTTTCTAGAAAAGCACTATATCTTTATCCAGGGATAAGGTGATTGTCTGATACTTGGTTCAGATTACTAATGTCCCTGTGAAGGTTAATTGTGCAATTTGTGCTAAAAGGAATAGCTAAAATGCTGTCCTGTGTATCCACCCTTCTTTATTCTGATCTCACTATAAATCAGGGAGAACAATTAGGGTTTTCCCCACTCTCCTCCTGATGATCAAATGGAACGAAAACAAAATTTGATGAAGCTGTCAATAGAAAATATAGGGCTTGGCAATTAGGACCAGGAAACTTCCCACCTCCCAGGACATTTCTGGTTGTACAAGTAATCCTTGATTAATAATGGCAATTGGGACCAGACTTTCCATCACATACATAAGGTTGTAAAACTCAACGTGACATGACAATATCACTTAATGAAGGAAATTTGGGGATTTCTGACTGCTGCCCTAAGTGACTGCCATAATGTCATTAAGCATGATGTCACATGGTCATAATTTCTGACTTCCTGCTGGTTTCCCCATTGACCTTGCTTGCCAGAAACTGGGAAGGTCACAAATAGTAATCACATGATTGTGGGATGGTGCGACCATTGTAAATATGAGTTGGTTGCTGAGTATCTTGACTATAATCAGAGAGATACTGCAACACTTGGAATGTGAATGATCATGTGTCCTCATTCAGTGCTATCCTTTCTGTGAGAAGAGCAGGCAACACTGGCCTCCATAGACCTCTTTCCTATCACTAATTCTGCCTTTTTTTTTTTAAGAAAAAAATTCTTCTGGAAAGAACATTGTTCTATAAATGTATGAGACTACTCTGAACTATATATAACATATATTTTTCTAGCCAGCTGTAATATATATTGCAAATATTCCAACTACTAAAGTTGCCAACTCATTTTGGGTTGTTGTTTTGTTCTTAATTTTCAGGATACAGATTCAACAAAACCCAGTAAGCATCAATGATAACAAGCTGAATGCATGATCCCTCATCCTTTTTTTGACGTCAGTTCTCAGGCAGATGGGTATTAACTGTTGACATCTAAAAGTTACATTGTACAATATTTTTTTCATAACAGTTTTGATTTTCTTCCTGGTTCTTTTACCTAATTGACTGGTTTTCCAGCTTAACAAATGTTTTTATTTTCCTTCTTTGTACAGGTGCTCTGAAAAATGAAATTCAAAACAGTGAGTATTGACTTAACCTAAATAGCTGTTTGCTGTTCACCTTGCAACAAACATGCACTTTTTTGATTGTAACTGCTATGAAAATAACATGCTTTCTCTGTGATATGATTGCTTCTGTTGCTATAATTAAAAGTTTTGGGAAGATCAAATTGAACTAATCAGTTCAATTTTGTAGATAACTATTGGCATAGCCAAGCCTTTCTTATGAAGCCTATTAGCTTTTGGGGTGAAGGTGGATGAATTCAGAGAAACCATTCAAAAATGTTGAAAGAGATCATGGAAAGCTAATTGTAAGTTATTGGTTTGTTTGGTTTTCTGTGTATTATTTTTATAATCTGCAGTCCAAGCTCAGAGACAGCAGTTAGCTAATCTTAAAAAAGCAAAGCAGGTCCTGACTTTCTTTGAACTTGGTTTGGGGAGGTGTAGGATGGACAGCGAAGAAAGGCAAAACTTATCCTAGAAGAAGAAAATTAGTCTACTTTGTTCCAATGCTAAGAAAATGACATGGATGTGTGATCCAAGTCAAGGAAGATTTTATCTATTCTGTTTTTCACTTTACTTAAGGTTGTCGTGCTATACATTTCAGCCCCACTAAATAGACTATGCCAAAAAATCTACTCCACAGGAACAGAAGAACTAATTTTACTGAGATTGGTTAATATAACATAATCTTGCAACCCTGGTTTTGCAGTGTCTCCCTTTTTATATCCCAGTGAATCACAGAGGTGTTTGCATACCGACTTTCTAATACTATCTTTTTTCCCCAAGGATTAAAAAAAATCTTTCAGCCTCCTTTGCCTAGGTAATGGTCCTGCATATTTTTATCAAGATCACCTCCCTCTCTTTCTCATATCTGCAACTCTGAGACTTAAACAATAAAGGAACAAACTAGATGCAAAGCTAAGAATGGCATGAAACAGGAAAAGGCATAGCTAAACACAGAGCATTAAATGCACAGAAGTATAGATTTTCTGGACTTCTGAAAGCAAATGAAGGAGGATCTAAGCCTGTGTGTTGATCTCTCAACTTGCCAATGACAAAGTCAGTGCCAATGAAAGTAGGGTTAAGGTGGTCACTAATATCAAGTATGGGCAACCAACAGCTGGTTGGTCTGTGTGTGGCCCTCAGTCCCCCTTTTGGCCCCCCATAAGGCCCTTAAATATTGCTACTGAAATTTGGTGGTAAAATCTTACAGCATATTATGTTGGAATTGAAATAACATTTAATACTTAACAAACTGGTTGAAACTTTAGCTAGATCACCAGGACACCTTCTCAGATCCTTAGAGGCCAATCTGTTTAGATGGGAGCCATTTCCTTAATACATAGAAAATGAGTTAAAGTTTAAATCCTGTTTGGAACCCTTTGAAAATGTAGAGCCTTTGTTTTGTCACTGTTTCTATATGTTTACCTTTAATATTAGACATCTTTATTATGTATATCTAGGACCATTCTGGAAGAGGCAGCATGTAGCTACATTATATAAATTAATTAAATAAAGTTAAATAAAAATGAAATAAAATATACTGCTTGCCTGCCCTGGCACCAAAAATGGCAAAAAAAAGAAAGAAATACTTCTATTTTTTAAAATTGGAATTGGGAAAAAAACCCATACAACGTGATTGCCTTTTGACCCACTACTTTTAATTTTCTAAAGCTTTCCCTTAGCATACCATAAACATATTTTGCTAGGAAGCAAAGCCTGTTGGCCTGATTAGGAGCTTCTAGATGTCAGACTGATAAAACTTGAAGCAAGTCCAGCAGGTTTTCTCATTTTATTTTCTGCTTCTAATACTACTGTTGACTACTGCTACTGTAGGGTAGAAGTGAGAAACATTTTGTAACTGACACTGACTCGAAGGCACACAAAAGAAGTGACAGTTAAATTTTACATCTATTTAATTTTTGGGGTCCCAAAAAACTGCAAGGAATGAAGCCATCGATATCATCAAGGCAATTCATTAAACCTGTTTTGGGTAGATGGGTGTAAAGACTAAATAATCCAACATTTTTTGCTCTTATACTCATCAACCTAACCTTTTCTTTAAAAATATGGAAGAGATATTTTAATCCGCTGTAGGACATTTTATTCCTTAACATATTTCAACCCCCGCCCTCCATATACCCCTAAAATGACTAAGAGTTTTGAGCCTTCCCTTTTATTTGCATATTGTTCCCATTACTACTTTATGTACAGTATAATTGGGACTGGAATGTGGAAATACAGCCTTGCCCCTGCCTGTGTATTAGTGATGTGGAGCAGGTATTAGTGACATGGAATTTGTGATAGTGCAGAGCATAGTGGTGACACGTGACATCAACAGATGGGTACAGCCAGGGTTTTTTCTTTTCTTTTTTGCTGTCTTCCGTGTTTAGAATTTTCAAACAGCAAAGTGGGTATGATATTTTAAATGGGACTCAAATGCTCCTATCTTGGTGGAAGGTTCAAAATTTAAAAAGTTGTCCCTTGCTGTTCAATTTCAATGCAGATATTTGAGAAATTTGGGGGCTACAACACATGCACACACATTTATGAATTCTGTGTTTAGCCCTAAGAGCTTTCCACCCCTATTAATCTGGCACCTTACTTACAAATTGATTAACAGAGGACACTCACAGGGGCGACAGCAATGACTGCATGATTGGAGTTCTGTTCTTTATTTTTATACTGTATATGTCATACATGCAGCCCATGTAGAAAAAGACCCAGAGCTTTAGTAATGTGGCTGTAGTCACTATCTGGTCTTTTTTGACTTCTCATGATTAACAAACAAATAATCAAACTGAAACATTTGGCAGATTTGTAATTGGTTATATAAGCTTTACAGACAAAGTCACAGCCTTCGGTTTAAGATTAAAAAACAGGTTGTTTATCTGGGTGTTGTTGTTGTTTTTTGGTTCATTTTAATCTCAGATTTACTTAATCAGAGAATTACATGCCAGTTTCTTTTGCTTCCTCCATTTTTTCTAGGAGATGACAAAAATGGTATTCAAACAGGTAAGTGACAGTCAAACGGGCAACAAGGGGGGGGGGGGGACTTCCTGAATCATACTTGTGTTTCCTATAACTGAATACTATCAAAGACAAGGAACATTCAGCAGCTCCACGAGGAAGACATTGTAGGAATGATTTCATTGGAAACAATTTAACATAAAACCTTTCCTAAATTGGCATATCTGGGCCCTCTCAGGTTTAAGATCTGTGGTTGCTTCCCTTCTTCACACTCCTGGTTTTTGGCAAGTATAAATTGCAGTTTCATGTTAGGAAAGACTTGTGCTCTTTTCTGCCAGACAAAAGAACAAATGTCTGCCGTATCTTCTTCATTAAAGGCCCACCTTTTGTTTCAAGAGTTGGTAAATTGTGTTTTCTCCAGCCATGTAGTCATGTGTTAATCTTTAACATTTTGCAGCTTCTAAAGCTGAGAGAGAAGGAGGAGCAAATAATGTGATTACATCATAGGGGGATTAGGGCCGGAAAAAAATGAACACTTTTTTGTTGTCAGGAATTGTCAAGTGGTAACAACGAAACCTACACGTGCAGAGTTCAAACTAACACCTTTATTATGTTCAGCCTATAATACAGGAATCTCCTCAGTCTGGCAGCCTATTCTTGGGAATAAATAGATAAGGCTCCAAACAATGTAAGTTAATTCATTGCAATAACTCAAGCCAATTTTATAAATTCCAATTTCCTTCTTACTCTCTCTGGTCACCGCCTCTACACACTTTCCTCCAAAATAGTCCTTTTATTTCTTAATACCAGGGTACCTTAAAGTCCATGTATTTTGCCTGGTTCACACTCCGCTCGCTGCTTCACCATTCAAGCACAGTCTTAGTTCCCAGACTGCCACAGTCTTAGTTCCTTGTTTTTGTGGTGGCCATTTTAGACCATCACTGCAACTTGCCTTTGGAAGGGAGGGGAGTTGCAACTCCGCTCAACCCACTAAGCAATTCCCCCTTTCTTTACCACCCCTCCAGGGTGGTTCCAGTCCCAGTTGGGACCCTCCAACAAGTGAGCTCAGAGCAAAACTGCGCACAACTGCGGATTCTGCTCTGACTCTGATGATGAGCAACCAGAAGTTCCAGAATATAAATTTTTAACAAAACATCTCATTAAGAATGGAATAAATTTTAGATGGCTGATACCAGAGGGAATATTGGTGACCTGGATAGAAGAAAGACATAGATTGGACTCCATAGAAAAAGCAGACTAATTTTATGATTTATTTATTTTGGACCATAAGAGGTAATGAGAGTAAGAGAGGAAAAAGAGGATAGACAATAAGAGGAAGCCGTAGGAGAGAGAGATTCACAAAAAAGGATGAAAGACAGTCAGAGGAAATAGCAAAAAGAGAAGGAGCAAAGGCAAAAGAACAGAGAGAGACAAGAGTGACTTGAACAACAAAAACCTATCTTTAAGTAAAACCATGGAAGAAAAATAAAATTACTGTCAATTAATATAACTGGACTGAATTCTGCTATAAAAAGGGAAAGAATCTTTAGAAAAATTAAAGTTGGATATAATTTGCCTGAAAGAGCAAAAAAACAACACAATAAATTATTGAATACCGCAAAATTGGGAAACTATACACCTCCCTATCACAACTTAAGAAGAGAGGAGTAGCTCTTTATATAAAAGAAACAATAAATGCTAAGCAAATATTTATGGGTGAAGAAGGGAGGATTTTGATGGTAGGGATAACAATGAATTACAAACAAATACTCCTGGTAGCAATTTAATGCACCAAATAGTAAATAGGACTTTTATAGTAAACTTCATAAGAAAATAATAGAATTGGAGTACAAAAAATATGTGTAGTAGGAGACTTTAATGCAATTGTAGATGTAGAATTAGATTATAAAACCAGGAAAGTGAATAAAAAAGCTAGGAAAACACTTCCAAAGGCTTTATTTAAAAGGGCGGAAGAACTAGGTATCCAAGATATGTGGTGAGAGATACATCCTAAGGAAAATCAATACTCATTCTATTCAAATAGGCATATGTGTTGGTCAAGAATAGATATGATATGGATGTCAGCTGAATTAAAATCTAATGTACAAGAACTGAATATAGAAACAAGTAATTGGGCAGACCATAAGTCAATAAAAGTCAAGTGGAAAGGACAAAAAGAAAATTAAGATGGATATTGAACCAATTTATATTAAAAGACAAGGAATTTATTCAATTAATGGAAAAAGGACTAGACTTTTTATCTAAAGAGAATAGAAAAGTAGAGACCTCGTTACAAAATGTATGGGATATAGCTAAGGCATATATTAGAAGTTTAGTCATAACTTATATAGGAAAGAAGAATAATATAAAGAAATAAAACCAAAAGATATTAGAAGAATACAAGAGGCTAGAGATAGAACTACAAAAAGAAACATAAAACAAAACAGAATCTAAATAGTCATGTGGAATTAATAAAACACAAGTTGAATATAATAGATAAAGAAGAATTAGCACAAATTATTGAACACTGAGCTAAAATACCTGAAACAGTGAAAGCCATATTAGATGAACATATAACAATGATGGAATTAACAGAAGCAATTAAGAGACCAAAGAATGATAAAACACTGAGCCCAGATGGTCTACCAGCAGAACTTTACAAAGACTTACAAAATATTCTAAGTATGCCAATGTTGGAAGTGTTCAATGAAGTATTGAACATCATTGACGGCACAGTGGTTAGAGTGCAGTACTGCAGGCTACTTCTGCTGACAGC